TTCCATGAATAAAGATGTCCGTGTGGCGAATGCAATGCTTACAATGTCAACAATCAAAAGTGCACAGACACGTAGCCGCCCCTACCGGCACATTTGCTACGCCTGATGCTCGCGTCGACCATGTTCATATTGACATTGTAGGACCATTGCCACTATTTCATGGTTACGACCACAGACTCACGTGCATTGATCGTTTCACAAGATGACCCGAAGCCATTCCCATCAATTCTATTACGGCGGAAACAGTTGCCCAACATTTTGTAGAACAATAGAAAGCGCTTTACAGTTGTCCCTCGACTGTCACAACTGACCTAAGACAGCAGTTTGAGTCCGAATTATTCTCCTCGCTAACCAGGCTACTTGGTGTGGAGCGCCTATTCACTACCGCCTACCACCCAGTTTCGAATGGTTTAGTCGAACGGTGCTCTTCGAGCACATGAAAACAACAACTGGAACAAAACTTTACCGCTCGTCCTCTTAGGTATTAGAACAAGCTTAAAGGCAGATATTCAATGTTCTGCCGCTAAATTGGTATACGGCACGACATTGCGTCTGTCTGGGGAATTTTCCACACCATCTAGCAGTGATAACTTCAATAAATCAGACTACATCCAACGACTGTTTGAATTTATGCGAGCACTGCCTCCGGTATCAACTCGAGTACAACATCGACAGTCATCTACCTGCTTGCAGGTTTTCATAGGAGTCGATTCGCTACGCAAACCTTTGCAACGGCCTTACGAGGCACCCTTTCACGAGATTTCTCGTCATAAAAAGACCTTCAAAGTTGCTCGACATGGCCTCGTAATTCATTGTGTATCCTGAGCCCATGTCTACGATAATCACCCTGTTGGTACCGTCGTCTTCAGTCAATCTTGGCGAAAGCTGGCCTGATTACGCTCGCTCCTGTCAATGCACTCAGTCAATGTTTTGGTTCCGAATGTTCTTCTCAACGTATGGTTTCGAACCTGGTCTTTCTGGTCGATTCTGGCTCCTTCGCTCAATCTGATTACGTCCTACGTCTGCAGATTTTTCTGGCACGAACCCCTACAAACGCAATCTTTAGACTCTGGATACGAGCCACGCTGGTGTGGCATGCAAACTGGAGCACTAAACTAAGCACCTTAGTATTGGTACAGATCAACGTAAAAAAATCTCGTTGACAACTCGAGATTCATTGGTCGCTTCCTGTCTGTCGCCTCTTCCTCTCTACAATCGATCGTTAGCCGATCAGTCCACACTGCGCAAGAAACCGCTACGTATCGAAAGTGTAAACCCATTCTAGAAGGGGGGCTAATATAGTGATTTACATTTACGAAGAAAACACAATCGCTGAAATATAAATATTTATTATCGTACTTAATTCTGACAATAACTGTTATACTGTACGCCTCTTGTTTATCTGTACTAAAGACTATATTTCGCGCGCCAAGATTGTTGTTCCCATTCTCCTCTTCACACGTCTCCTGCGTGGACGTTAGCCGTTTGTGCGCCCTCTGGCCCCAATATCATTTCTATATCACAAGGCTAGCATTAAATATACTTCTTGCTCTAGAATGGCCTTTTTATCTGATTCTTAGAGTAACGGGATCAACATTTGTTATCCCGCGAAGTAGTATATTATTCGATTCGGTATAATCTCATCTATCTCTAGGTTGGTAAGGTCTTCCTGATTCGGTCCTTTGAGCGGGCACAACCCCTGATTCGTAGGTTTTCTTTTAGTCGTGAACGTAAACAGATGCGTCGGGTTTGCCTGTGTCTTGGCAGCTAGCTTTATCCGAAAGCGTCTTCTATCACTTCGAACTTTCGCATTACATCTTTTTCTCAATGCCAAGTAAGAACTACGATTAGAATCCTTCAAGAAGAACTTCCACTTGTGCCAGGCTCTCCCCTTCGCCTGTAGCAAGCGTTCAGTGCCTCGCCTAACGCATGTTCTTCTATTTCCGGGTGTGTGGTGTGACTGAGGTACATTGCCTACGACAGCCTTCTGGATGATGTCTCTCACCGTTTGCCAGTGATCATCTACTATCAGCCTCCACCACTCCCGTGGACATGGGGCCTGTACGCGTACAATTTGCCCTAGTGTAGCAAAGATGGGGCCCGTTTTCGTCCTGTATGTGTTTCGCCTATGACCATGTTAAACAAGACTGTACCATAGTCACTACTTCCCATTGGTGTATGGACTTGAAAATACTCGACCAGGAGTTGATCATTTGTTAGCGAAAAATCCAGGTTTGGGGACTTTCCTTCCTTAGTGCATCTAGTGACACTGCATACATGCTCAGTAAGTCCAGAGCTTCTAATGGCTGCGCCAAGTCGTCCTTGGAACCAACCAGTGAGAGTTGTATCCTGTTTGCTGAGATTTAGAGATGGGGTATTGAAATCTCCAGCTAAGAATCATTTGATCAAACCGCCAGCAGTTGCAGTATTGCCTCAGTACCTGAGGAAGGTCGGTTAATCCATTCAATCAAGTATTTCGTGTCATTTGTATGGAAACAACACCAACATGATTCCGTCACCTCATTTTGTTAGGTGTGTCATAGCCGCTCGGCTTTTTAGTGGCTGTTTTTTATATATAGCCACTTTGCCTCCTGTCTGGTGTACCCTATTTCATCGGAAGAGTATCATGCCTTGCAAGCTCACTTTGTCGTCTGCAATGTCCCCACATTCACAACTATGATTTTTTGTACATCAATAAGACGACTATAACTCGATTATCTAGTGTATAATCAACAGTTTAAACGGACTGATTTCTTCACACTCTCCTCTTGTTGTTTCTGTACGTTTCCAGGTACTTAGTTATTTCACTGTGTAACGGTCCAACTGCTAGACTCTACTAATTTCAGTCAGTTCGACAGTTCTTTATTGGTTTTGGTTTGTCTAGAAATTTGATTGAGTGCATTTTTTTCAGGTCTGTAGACTTTCAAGATGCCAGCGGCTAACACACTACCAGGTTGAAGATCAGCTGATCGCAATGTGGAGAATAATAAAGAGAAGACTTTATTGCTAACGAAAAGAGAAAAGTTTCAGAGACACGCAGATAAATAATTCAACCAATCAGATTGTTTGAGGACCAGAGTGTGAGGGTAAAAGAGGATTTATAGATGATAGTAACCAGGATACAATGAGTTACTGATGTGGGGTGACAACAACAAGTTTTGTTTGTGTTTCTCAAGTTTCCTTCTCGTCAGTGTGCTATTTTCCAAGGATTATCCCGAGGGGCGTGGGGAAGATGTACTGGTAGGATGCATTATGATGAATGGCTGCATGCCATTATCGAATAATCTCTGGTGCAAGAATAGTCAGAAGTGCTGAAGTCTTTCCTCTTAAGAGTTGTTTTTCAATCTTAGCGAATCCTAACTGACGCGAACTTGTTCTACATTTAATACAAACAAAGGAAGTCTGATTGTGCTATCCACGTGTTACTGCCTTAACGGCCATGAGAATTTTCAGTTAGTTTGCATGTAAATTAATGATTTCACAAGTTTGCTAGTGTTTACTTGACCGGATTATCGAACGAGAGTTGATTCGATATAGATATTACACATTTGAAATCATCAATCAATCATTGTTAGACCACAATTAGAAACCTGGAAGCACTGGACAGCCGTTTCATCCTGATATGGGACTCTTCAGCAGTGCGTATTCATTCTAATGGTGGTCCAACAATGATTGATTGATTATTTCCAACGTGCAAAAACACTAATCTCCATAACTCTAATTGAAAATATAGATGTTAGATGAAAATTGACTAAAAATATTGATGCATCAGGAACCGAGACATTTATGTTCGATTATTTGAGACCTATAAAATCCTTGTTCGGAATAAGCCAGTAAAAATGCACTGATACTGTGCTAATTACACGTTGAGCAACATCTAAAAAACAGAAATCTGAAAGATTATATTTATGAGGACTGGTTCATGAGAATAGTGTCTTCATTTTTAATTGTCTTTGTTGAATTCTGGGTGGATGATTATTTGATATTTTTTGAACAGATATTTGACATAGGCAGGTGGCACCTATTGAGGTACTTCAGTTAATTTTGGATTATTTTTGCCCTTGTGTTAAAGATGGCCGAAAAACTGGACAAATAATACAGTCACTCTGGAGCGTAGAACGGTAACTAAGTGAATTTTCATGCTTAAGGTTACCTGATAGAAAATGTGCATATGGTATGTTTCTATAACTCCCATCTGATTAGCATAATCTCAGGCGCTAGACTCTAAATCCTGTCTTAAGACCACTGCGATAAGTGACAGACGAGGTAATTTTGGTTAGTTTGTAAATAAACCCAAACGTATGATGGTCAGTCAAACACGAGATCTCATTTCAAAAAGTACTCGAACGCCATTTTGCTGACTGTGCCATCATACTTCTTAAATGTTTAAAAACTTCCTAAATACTTCGGAAGTAGATTGTACTGCGTTTTCGAGACAAATGTGTCGATAAAATCATAGGCACAATGACATGGATTATATAATTGATGTTCATTAGGGCAGTTTCTAGATACCAAATACCTGGAACTGTACCGAAAGAACAAGAATTGAGCAACAAAGAAATCAATTGATTTTTACTAGCTCGTGAGAAGGATATTGGATATGTCCATCGGATGACTGGGTATTCACCGTCCGTACGCAGTAGCCTTCATCTAAGAGACGAGTTTACATAGTGGGAATAAAGAGATAGATCACGAAGAAAACTCTAAGGGTCGATTGTGGCCAGAGTTACACAACACAATGTGAATTGAAGACGCCACGGATATTCAGAGTTTGACAATGCTTTAGTTCATATTACTACCTTTCAAACGGAGAATACCAGACAGTCAAACCAAGCACGAGTGACGACTATTTCCCAAAACGATGAATTAACGCTTCTAACCTACTTGTTTCTGCCAATAGGCATTTCTACCAGTCAAAAGTTAGCCAATCAGGCGACCAGTTAATCGCCACTTCTTATTGGCTTAATTTAAATGGTAGAAACCACGCCCTGTCTCTAAAACTCTGATAACTACGATAATTAAAATTAACTGCAATCTGAGTTTCATACTGAAAAAATGACTAGCAAGCCAATTTCTTCTCAAAACTCTCAAACACCAGAAGATTCAACAGAGCAGTTTGATCCGCAATCAATAAGTTTGCGGGCCCAAAAAAAGTTGATTGGGAGCTTGCCAAAAGGAATTATTAAATTGTTTCTTGATGATTCCTCAGCTCGTTTGTTTGAAAATATATTCAGTTTAATAAAACATTATACAGGCAATAATAAACTAGCTGCTTATCTAACAAAGCAGGCAATTAAATTGAATGTCAAAGCATTGATCTTGATTTCAAATGACATATTATCAGACGAACAGTTGAATCACGCCTATGAATTTCATGAGAAATGTCACCAAATAGCCGAAATTGCTTTGCGCTTAGGTCGGCCAAAACGTCGTTTAATGCCTGGTGTTGAACCGTCAATTGATAAACTGATTCAATCAATGAAAGAAGCTAATCAAACATTAATAGAAGCTGTCAAACATCACATTAGCCAACAATCACAAGATAAGTTTAAAGAATTTTCAGATTTTTTCTGTCATCGTGAATTTGTTGTTGAAGTTTTTACTAATAAAGTAAAATATTCGACGCATATGGAGAAGATTTATGATGACCTCGAAGATATGATGGACCGTGGTTTATTTTAACTATCGGAATATTCGCAACGGAAGGAATGGAATATCACAATTTGCATGTAAACAAAATCTAATTGACTCTGTTTAGAATGCTGCTTTGAAAATAAAAGTGTGGACTTGCTGGAAATGAGAGAACTGACTATTGTTATGAATTTATCATTAAGTAAACTATAATTGCATTTCTATTTAATCTCTCATAATAAACAACTTATCCATATTTTCTGAGAATTTTACTCGACTAACGACTATCCCAGAGATCAGTAGTTCCTCACTATAAACCTTGCCTGTTGATTCACTGAGGATCTAGCAATATATCGCGATGACATTGTATATAATAGCGACCACTCTGCCTAAATAAACACTAGCCCTGTTTACATTTGATGGATAAGACAGGATATAAAATACAGACCTGACAACTTATTGATTTTGCTTGAGACATTATTCTATGCAGGTAGCATAAGCCGTGTTGAGTGGTTCAGTCACGCAAAAGCTTTTGATTGACTGCATAATATGTGCACTGAAAATATAGATCTTTCGGCTTACTTTAAGGTTATCAAACTTCGTGTTTACCGAAAGAACTATCAAATAAGCTGACTAGAAATGTTCACTAGCTCCCAATCTGAAATACTTTTAGTGCTACGACAATGAAGGAATGTTCTGCAAACCCAATTACTTAGGAGGACATTATGAATAATCGGAATTATGTAACTTAGGAGATGGGGTTATCTACATGTAGCCCAGTTATTGTAAAACAACACTCTGTTCTGGGCCAAAAATTTCAGAATGTACCGCGCAAATACATCACATTTTGCAGATCAACTACGTTTTCTCATTGTTCTCTATCAAAATTTGTAGAAAGGATTTGCTGATTTAACTGCATATTTAACCTGGGTAAAAATGACTGATATGTATGACGAGTAAGAAGGAATATAAAGAAGTAAATCTCATGACTAATTGGATTTTTTAAGCATACACGAGAGGTAAATGGGAATTACCTAGTAATGCATCAAGTTGAGAAATTCGTTTTTTCGATAATACGCATCAGTCATTCAAACGATTGAACCAAGAGGCTCAATCCGTTGATCTGGATCTTAAATATTTTAAATGTAAGATGATTTATTTACAATGCATTATTGATGTTTAAACAAGGCAGTTGGAACAAGATTGATAAACATTCAAGCTACATTATTTAAGAAATTATGACTTTCAAGTCTAACTCGAAAATTAACAAAACACTCAATACATTTTGTGAACCAAAGGTGAATGAGATAATCTAGCAAAACTGCCTAGACCAAAGTACCACGTTGCGACTGAGGGTTTACCATCTTTTCACCAAATCAGATTGAAGGTACAAATAACTGAAAAACACTGTTGCTATACAAAGTTTGAGATTTGTTGAATTTATACTTCCCTCAAACAACGGATCTTATCTAGACCAGCATTGAAAGCCAAGAAGCAATGGACAGACTTTAAGTTCGAACCAGTGATATTATAGTATTGTCACTCTACAAACATGAGATGACAACACAATGATCCTGAAGGTTAGGGGGCTTGGGGATTTCAGGCTCGATTTTCGGCAAGGTAGTGAATCCACACACTTAGGAGGTTTCAGAGTGGGAAATACTTCCTGATTTTCAGAAGCTATCCACTTCAAGCCAGTCGTTAGCATTAATGGTTCCTTTCTGATTGAAAAAAAGGATGTTCTTTAACAGTACCAAAAATGATCATTTATTGGTAATTAACATATACAGTAATTAATTGTAGGGAAAAAATGGTTTAGGTGATTTTATAAGTGAATGATTACTGTTACTATAATGATAGCAACTATAAGTTACAAGAAAGACAAAAGTTTGTCTATCCTTTAAACGGAATGAGAAAAAGTAGCAGAAAAAAAGGGTTTGCCTGATGAAACATCATTAATATCTACATTTTTGAGAGCATTTACAAATAAGAATGAAAATGAATAGTTATTTACAATTTTCGAGGCGTGGCAAATAACTGCTTCAGTTTAAATGAAAAAATAAACAATCACAAACTATTGTACATAAATGTTTCGTTGCCTCGGTTACTATTAGCTAATAAGTGAGTACACTGCGTCGCACCATCCATTGCAGATGAATTTCGATGATAGGAAGTTAAATTAGGCAAAAGGATTGCTTTTTTTAATATTAACTGAAGTATAATCTAGAGATAAGATCTTCTAAAACGATCCTTATGCATGGTTTGAAGCGATTGTAAACGAATACTAATATAACTATCAGTTACAAATAAACCCTATTAGTTGTTATTGATTTAAGAATCAAAACACTGGATTGTTCAGGCGTTACTCTTAGGTGTCATAGAAATTAGAAAAATTATCATGTGCATCAAATCTCCGCAAAAACCAAATGGGTATCTTAATTATGAATATAATTATTGCAAATAAATTAGACAATCAGATTATTGCTGACTAGAGTTGGTTTTGCGATGTAACGAATACTTACTCAGTAACCATATGAAAATTTAAGTTGCCGATTTCAAGCGCGATAACATCCAGAAGCTTAAACACAGATGGAGTCGGACTCAAAGCTGTGACCTATTGCTTGAAAAATGAGTGTTTTGGTCAGGAAGCCATCGTCTCACATTTGTAAAAAAAGCTTATATTTAGCTTGTTAATTAGATAAAATTATTTTACTTAACACTGGATAGGGCACCTAACTCTGAATGAAACGAATCGCCATCAAACATAAACCTATATACGAAGCTACGGCGATCTAATTTAACGAGACAATTCAGTCTGAATTACTTCGAGAACAGACCAGGAATCTTAGTTTCAATATTTTATACTAACTCTGCCTGTAACAATCACTACTGATACTAATAAACATTTACTTGTAAACTTGATTAGGCTTTACCTCGTCGTACTAGAAATATAACAACAAATGTTAGGTTGACAGTTTGCGAACAGTTTTTCTATAATCAAGCACGTAGAGAGTGATCCTAAACGAGTAGCTTGTAACAAAGGAATGAGATTCAAAAATAAAACAAGGACAATGAAGGTGAAGGTTTTATCATACAAAAAACAATGACTTAGTCTTCTGATTTGAATTTTTTGCTTTGTGGTGTATTAGAGACAGAACTTGCACCTCGTTTACCTCCGAAAGAGTGACGTTCACCACGCTGGCCATTTAATTCTCTCCCACCACGAAACCCACCGCGGTTGCCCCGACCAGCCCCATCGCTCCACCGTCCACGGAGGCCACCGCGTCCTCCCCGAAAATCACCACGAGCACCCCGGAAATCTCCTCTTCCGCGACCACGTGGAAAATCATTTCCACCTCGACCACCTCTCTGATCACCACGTCCACCTCTTCTTCCTGTTGTTAAGAAAATAATCTTGTTGAGTAACTGAGTATCAGGAATTTAAAACTAGCAAAATGATCAGGCTCTTAGTAAACGTGAGGCGAAAATGTTCGTGTTGTCGATATGCTTCTTAGGAGATATCAGAGCAAGTCCTACGGATGAAAATTGATAACCTAGTTTTCGTGCCTTGACAAGTGACAGGATACCTGAGAAAACGATGAAGTTTATTCTCAACAAACAGAATTATTCTGATTGGTCGCAGTTTTGATCGACTTTTATAAAATAGTAAAGATGCAGCCTATGCTCGCAGAACGTAAAACCCGTACGACAAAATAATTTTCTGACAAAGTCATCACTTTCCTTGATTTTAGTTTACTGAACTAATATAAAAGGTGGGGACTTGGATAAAAAAACTTACGTATTATATTCGACGGGGTAAGAATGGACGGTATATGCAAATCTACTTTCCATACTGTCCTAACTTGGAAAGAATACGACACATTGAGTAGCTTACACAGGAAGAATGACCACTTTAGATGCGTATGTGGAGACACCAACATCATAATACTAGGCTTTATGACGAGCCTCAGAAAATGTTTTAACTACGTTTTACATGAAAATACTGTTCTCTGCTTATGGAGATGACTGGATATACGGACAGCTGGGCATTGAAACATCTTTATTAGACTCTTAGGTTAAAGTCACACTACGTGCGAGGACTCACCAAGCTACCTGGTTTTGTAAACCGAAGTATGTAGGGTAACTAAAGGATATTAAATTAAGTAGCACAAATTTCTGCGTTTTACTAAATAAACTGATTGCTCCTCACAAATAGTGATAGTTGATAATTTGTAGTGGTGTATGGCACGAGATTAAGTACTTCGGAAGTTTTGATCAAATTCTAACCCACGATACACTAAGAGACAAGACAAGGGCGTTACGAGGCAGTCGTACTCGATCAAAAACTACAAAAATAGAACTAAACCATGTGTTACCACACAAGACAGCTTTCGTCTAAATAAGGGTATGTTGAGTTGTATGGAAGCAACTCGATTTTAAACTCCGAATCCATCATTTCCATATTAAAGATTGAAATTTTAACTAGATGATTTCCTACCTACGGACAAAAAAATTAGATAGTGCTCACTCGTTACTGACTCAAATAAGGGTACAATTGATGCATATTTTACGTATAAGCAGAATCTTCCACCCAAGAATCATATAGTGTGGTAGCTTAGAAGGTTACAAAATATATTAGCAAATTAAATGAAGAGTTACTGACAACAATACACATTTACCTCTATTAGTATTGGGGTTCAATACGCGGTCAAGTGTCAGAAACTTAGCAGGATCCATAAAGAACTACGAGGTAGAACTTAATCGAGATAACGAGAAAATACCTTGACCCCTTCTTGAAAAGATTTACTTTTGAGAGTGTCTGAGAGTTTGATTGAAAAGTACTAACCAATTAGATTAGGTAAAGAAAAATATATAAAAATACTGCATCTTTAATGGGGCCAAAAACTTCGTCTACTTTGCCCACTTCCTCTTTGTTTGCCAAATAAACAGAAGCGTTTGAGTAAGGTATTTTTTCCGATGTGATTTTACAGACAATATCTTCTTGACATGGGTGAGCGAAAACCCCAACTTCAACAACTTCTTCAGGAGGGCCACTTTGGAATTTATCAGAGAAACCGCCCCTTGAGCCCCTTCGAAAACCACCTTGCGAGCCACGTGAACCACCTCTACCTCTAAAATTTTGGAAGCCCATCGCTCACGCCAAAATTAACCGAAAACCCGCGAATACCCTAAGAAGGACAGGGTCGTTAAACGGCCTTCATTATGTAAAACAAAATATCCCTGGCTTAAGTAATTAATGTGACAAACAGTAAATCGATTAAAAGTTAATTGTTATCAAACATAAAAAGCTGACATAGTTATTACAACTGGCGGGCTATACAGACCTAACATGAATATACGGGTCTTAGTGTTCGTTCAGACTGTAGTTCGCTTCGTTCATCTCCAAATTACTTGTAAGTTACTAATGATTGCTATTCAAGCTTAAGTGTTTAGCTTTTACTTGTCTTCTTATCTACTAGCGGTTTCTCACATTCCCGGATAGTATGCTTCACCACTACAACCTTTATCATCCATCTGGTCTTCTAAGATAAAATTTGCGAGTACTGTTCCTTATAAATACTCCTAGTTATGATAGATAATGTAGTTGCCATGTTTAACTCCTTGTTTTAGATGTTCTTTCTCGTGACTGCCGCGTCCTACCCAACCAGGATTTATTGTTACACCATCCGGTTACCAACTTCCTTCAAGTTGATAATCTTGAAGGCAGTATGGTTCTATTGTCCCACAATATGACTCCCTATCCACGCAACTTCTCTTGTGAACTAGTTGTGCATACACCCGTTGAAAATGCCAGAATTATGATGAAAATTGAAGAGTTTTATATACCATCTAAGACTCCGAATTGTGTCGAAAATTATTTATATGTATTCGATTCTAACACAGCAAAGTCCAAGGCCATGGTAAGTCTGATATAACACTTCCTGTTACTGTGAAAATTTGCAAATGACTAGTGTAGGATGTTTTATCTTGTACCGTGTTTAGATTTGTATTGATTGTATCATCGACCGCCTAATGTTCTGCATATGTATTGCATAAGTATTTGATTGTTTTGTTGCATATAGACAGAAGCTGGTGGAGAACGTGGTTTATGTGGACCGGACTATCCAAAGAACCTTATATTTACGTCGAGGTCCTATATATGTATAGCTTTCCAGTAAGTATATATATATATATATATAAAATATATATATGATTAACGGTTTTAATACTATCAGTTTTGTGAGATACTGCTCTTAGTTTTCATAGACAACTTCAATAAGCAAATAATGCATCAACTCAGTTACTTGACCAGCTCTCTAAGTTTTATTTGTTAAGCTAAAGCCTATGCTATTTCTCTCCGGCTTAGTTGAAGTAAACTAAGCTGTGTTGAAGTTACATTATAATACCTATTGCTCTTTGGTTTGATTCTTTGTCAGTTTGTCGTCTTTATCTAATTTCTATAGTTAGAACCGGGTAATATATTCAAGTGATGAGTCACAAAATTAAAAGTAACCTGTATATCTAAAACCAATTTTCAGTCAGTGAGTGAAACTAAGATCTGATTTTAACAGCGTTGTGTATATTAATTGATGTAGTACTAAATTGTTTATTAGCACAATTCCACTCTCAGGTATATGCTAATTTAAGTTGCTTCCCCATCAAATCAAACCATATTATTCTGTTTTCAGTACTTCATCTCAACGACCTCTCATTTTACCTGGTATGAAACCAGGATTTCGAGTTATTCTCACTGCAATTCAAGAAAGTAAGTTTGTTAAGATAACTTACCCACTTATCTTTAATACATGTTTTACCATATCATTCCTCTTGGGAACAATCATAAACTGATAACGTCTGTTCAGTGAGTGTGGCAACAGACCGTTGATTGAACCCTCAAAAACTGATTCAATTTACAAACGGATGCGTAGTATTACTACGTCAATATGATACTTGTTAGTCGGATATAAAGCACTCGATTAGTACAGTTTTGTACCTGATCACTAGCTACGACGAGTCCCTGAGAATATACTCCCGTCTATAAATACTACTTGAGCCTAGAATGTTTCGGTCAGTTGGTAATGTTGTAGTCATTTTAGCTGGTTGCACCATCAAATACAATCATAAAACAGAGTAGGTAATTGAAATTTATAAACCCAGTTCAAATACATATAACAGCTTATATGTATCTCGGGAGTCTCATCAGTGCTGATAACCTGGCAACTGGCGAAATCTCAGCACGGATACAGAAAGCTCGATTGGCTTTTGCCAACCTTCGTCATTTATGGTGTAGGCGAGATATCCGTCTGCTCACCGAAGGACGAGTGTACTGCGCAGCAGTTCGCTCTGTGCTACTTTATGGCTGTTAAACATGGCCACTCAGAGTAGAAGACATTCGTAGGTTATTAGTATTCGATTATAGATATCTTCGAAGCATTGCTCGCGTTTCGTGGGACAACCGAGTAAGTAATGCTGTCGTTCTGAAACGAGTACTAAGTAGGGATGGCAGATCAATAGATTAATTGTTGAGACTTCATCAGTTGAGGTGGTTAGGACATGTGCTGCATATGCCTAACCACTGACTGCCTCGTCGAGCTATGTTTTACCATGCAGGAATAGGTTGGAAGAAAACTAGGGGCGGCCAAACCAAAACATGGCACAAGTCCATGAAGTCACTGACAAGTGGGTGAAGTCATATTGATGTATGTCGACTACCCGGTTAGGGTCTGGGAGACGAAAGTCACCGATGGTTAGATACCTTGAACGACATGGCTCAAAATCGTTTGCAATGGCGCAGGTTTATTCATTCATTGTGACCTCTAAAATTCTGATCTTCAGAATTCCTCATGATCTACATCTTTCTCTTTCTAAAGTTATCTTACTCAACTACACCTCTTGAATCATAACTTCGATCCTTAATATTCTCCATTACCTGTAATTTTCCTACTATCTTTGCCACTATGGGATTCGAACCGACAGTGGTGTCTCTGTGCTAATGCGGTATGGCTACCTGAACTGACGTACGCACGTACGAAGTTCTACGTTGTAATTGACTGGCTGACATATAACAGCTTAAGAGTGTACTGCAAAATCGTAACTTCTATTTTATTTCTCGATTTCCTTCCATGTAGACTTTAGACAGATGATCCATTGTTTGAAACTAGACTGTCATAGTAATTCCATTACAATACAGTAAATATCATATTAAATGTACTGTCTTGTCAAATCCCGATTGTAGTTGCTGCCTTGACGTGGTGTTCGGGTTTGCCTAATGTCATGACCAAACAGGGCTATATTGGCTAGAAGACATGTTCCTTTAGTTCCTACCATACTAGGCAGGTAGATCAGATAACGGTAGAACTGAAAACAGCAACGGAAGTTCTAAGGGCAAAGTCGTACTACTGACTGTAGAGGGGTGCGAGAGCAGTCAAGGGTTTCCCTCAGACACCCAGCGAACATCAGTGATGCTGCCTTCTCATAACGGAAGATTTGGGTTAGGAAAGTTTGACCCTAAGAATGTAACACCACACTTTACCCCGCGAATCTCTGTCTCCGGTGGAGAAGACTACAAGAACAGCGGTAACTCATTAAAAACTTCCCATAAGAAAGCCGTGTGTGATCGGCCTCAACTAGTTGTCCATCGGGCTCTCCTTTCACGTTGTCAGGTCGCAAAGATCAACGCTAATGCAATTCCCTTTACAGGTTTCTCAAGAAACATTCACGGCGTCAGCAGTCGGGAAGTCACATTCGCCCTCATACTTGTAACAACACATGAGATTACAATCGAATTTTTCCTATACCTCTTAATGCCTCTCTCATCTCCACGACTAACCCTTCTCGCACTCCTTTATCACCTCGCGCCGCTGATGTAAACGATTCGAGTACCCGAAAAATTACTCTCCGTCTCCTGGCACCACACTTTAACTTACATGTTGGAGCGTTGAATGTTCGGAACTTGTTCCAAACAGGACAACGGGTTACCTTAGCAAGGACTCTAGGATCTCGTGTCACTGATGTATGCTGCATCTCCGAAACGCGCATAAAAGATCCGAGTACAGTGGCTAATTCGACTTCACCTTGTCAAGATAAAGACTCATCTCAATCCACACTCCTTGTATCTGACAGCCCTACTTCTATTTCCCGTAGCCTCTCTAGTGTAGTTATAGCATTAGGTCTTAGGACACAACTATCTCTCTTGGCCTGGATCCCAGTAGACATTCGTTTGTGCGCTGTCCGACTAAACAGGACAGTAAAGACTCGGAATGATAAGGACACTAGCTGTTGCCTCTTCGTTGTCTCTGTCTACGCTCCCGCTGACTGCAGCTCGGATGAGGTAAAAGATAAGTTTGACAGGAAGCTTTCCAACCTCTTCCAAAAAGTGAAACGCTTTGATGTCGTAATAGTTGCTGGAGACTAATGCTCAAGTAGGTAGACTAAGTGATACTGAAAGACACCTGAGTGGGTCTTATGGTGTGGCGACTCACAGAACAGATAATGGCGACCTTCTGCTGCAGCTATGCAAATACTATTTTTGAGCATAAGGAAAAACATCTTTTTACTTGGTGACACCCAAAGTCAACTCAACGCTGGACCCAGCTAGATCACACCGCTATCAGCCACCGATGGAGAGGCTCTATAGAAGACAGCCACTCATTCTGGGGCACATGTTTACATTCAAACCATGCTCTAGTATTAGCGCGTATTGAACGTAAGAAAGACTTAGCGATGAAACCCCTTGCAGTTCTACTTAACGATAGCAAAGCTAAAAATATATTTCAGAAGCGACTATAAAAACAGTCAGGCAGCCATGTTAGTGGTTCCAAACTCGAGGCATCACGGAATGATATCCGAAATGCTGTATAAACAACAGTGATATCTGTTAATAAAGTGAACCATGAAGTTAGAGAGAAACATTGGATTTCAGTAGCATCTACTGAACCGATAGATACTCGGAAATCCATTCTGGCTGTGAACACGATGAGGAGCGGAGTTGGCTTAAGTGCAGGCTGATAAGAAACCTACGTAATGATCGCGAACAGTGGTGGATTACGAATGCATGAGAAATGGAAAAGGAAACTGGTATTAGAAATCTAACTGTTTGTGAGACTATCTCAGAAAGAGATGTTCTTATTCTTCATTCTCAATCGAGGAGATTGCATCGATGGTCAGAACACTTTAAAGAGCAGTTGAACTGGCTTTCAGCCACACTTCAACTACACATCATCTCCAGTCAACCTGTATGGCAAGTGAATGTAAGTCCTGCGAATCTTAATGAAGTTGTTGTAAAAGCTATGGGAAATGTGAAGCGATGGAGAGCAGCGGGTCCTGATTGGCTGACTCCTGAGATTTTTAAGGATGGTGTTCCAGTTTGGCAGTTACATTGACTGAAATCCTAGATCGAATTCAGGGACTGGGCGTAATCCTATCTGACTGGTCTCAATCACTGATTGTCCCAGCCTATAAGAAAGGAAAAATTCCTGTTGTGACAATCACAGAGGAGTCAGTTTGACTAGCATAGTGTCTAAAATATTGGCTTCAATAATAATACGACGCCTAACAAGTGTTTTTGAAGAGCAGACTCGAGAAAACCGGTCTGGATTCAGACCTGGACGTGGATGTATAGACCAGATATTCACACTTTGTTAGGTGCTAGAAGATAGACACACGCTCAGATGTTCTACAATAGTAGAATTTCTCGACCTTAAGATGGCGTTTGACTCTGTTGACCGTGGGGTTCTATGGCAGGGTCTGTCATTGAACGGTGTACCAGCGAAGTACAATAATGTTATACAAGCTCTCTACCCGAACACCACTGGTCGAGTAAGAGCTTATGGCGAACTGTCATCGGAATTGACTACTTCAAGTGCTGTTCATCTGGGCTGTTCACTTTCTCCTTTCGTGTTTAACTTTGTAATTGACATGCTTTTAGATATGATACTTTTGTCGTCTGACTTTTAAGAAGTTGGACTTTTACCAGGAGATTTGCTTGTTGACTTTGAGATGGTGTTGAATTAGAGTATGCCGATGGCATAGTTCTATTCGGTGAAGACATTGACAAGATGCAGTCTTCTGACTACGCTAAGCAACAATGAAAGCATGTTCGAGATGCGATTCTTCTCCCCATCAAAATGCAAAACGTTGTTTCAAGATTGCATTGCATCGGCGCCTAAATTAGTGACACGGAGTAAAGTAGTTGAGTATGTTGACCGACTCAATTATCCATCAGTGCTGATGGCCTGGTGACTGATGAAATCTCAGCTCGGATACACAAGTCTCGACTGGCTTCTGCCAACTTGCGTCACTTATAGTGAAGGCTGACCAAAGAACGAGTGTACTGCGCAGCAGTTCGTTCCGTCCTACTTTGCGGGTGTGAAACATGGCCACTGAGAATAGACGATATTTGCAGGCTACTAGTATTCGATCATAGGTGTTTCCGAAGCATAGCTCGTATATCCTGGAACCATTGAATAAGCAATGCTTGGTTTAGGAAAAGGGTACCAGGTAAGGATGGTAAATCAGTTGATGAAGTGGCGAATCTTCATCAGTTGAGGTGGTTGGGATATGTATAGCGTATACCTAACCATCGACTGTCTCGTCGAGCTGTTTTGCGATAGAGCAGTAGGTTGGATAAAAGCTAGGGATGTCCAAAGCAAAACTTGGCACAAATCCATGAAGTCGCCGACAACTGGACTGAGCCATCCATGTTAGTAGGTTTAAACTACCTGGTTGGAGTCCGCGAGACGAAAGTAACCGATGCTTAGACTTTGAATGATATGACTCAAAATCGTTTGCAATGATGCAGATGCATCCACTCTTTGTGTTCTCTCAAATTCTAATCTTCTGAAATCCTCATCATCTCTATCTTTCTCTTCTGAAGTTTTTTATTTCACTGGACTATACTGTTCGAATCTTCCTGACTACTGCTCATGCTTCTATTACCTTTACTATTACAGGATTTGAATTGACAATTCGATCTCTGTATTGATGTGGTATGGCAACTTGGACTGATGTAAATACTAACGAAGTTCTTCGTTGCCGATCACTAACTCGCTGATCTTGTCGAATATCAGCAACGGGATGTACGTACGACTTAAAACAATACTGTTCTTGTATTACATTTGCCAAGCAAAAAATGATGCTCATCTGTGTATAGTTCGAACTAAGAACAATTTATATTTTCGCTAAAAGAGAAAATGTCCCAGGTATTATCGGATGCACTTACCGCTTAACCGAAACTTTGCATTGGAAAATCGTAATGATCTCAAGTTACTAATTTATATTGAATTTGATTAGTACGAATTATTGTCTACTCTATTGGCGAACTATTAGGGACAAAGCCAAGATAGATAATCAAATAGCGAGTTATTAGTTTATTGGTGACTATTGCATTTGTTAATTTATCGTCGTTGGACATCAGAATTCGTGTATCCGTACATTGTTTGAAAGTTATTAGACGTCTTATCGACAAGGTCTGTTCAAAATTTCGGGAAAGAAGGAATTTTTCATAATGTTTGTTTACGCTGCTTTACCAACTGCTTTCTTTCATTCTAACAGCTCGAAATAACAGCTGCCCATCAGACAACTTTTACTGTGGTCCAGTTCCCCTTTTTATGGGGTCACATTCTATGATGACATCGAATTCACTTAGTGCAGATAGTCGGTTATATGGCTCGTTCTTATCTCTTCCTCAAAATATCCGTCATTTAGATGAAAGATTTTCAACTTATGACGATAAACAATACTTGGGATATTGTATTACAAAGAAGAGTTTATGCGATGGTATTGTGAATTGTGAAGATAGGAAAGATGAAGAAATCTCTCGTTGTCAGGCTTTTATCGGTATGTTCAATGAAATTACTAATTTTTGTGTTTACTAATAAATCGTCCTCATTGACGTTCTTTTTTGCTGACTCCAGTAACTAACCAGTAATTGCGCCGTGTTCGTCTTTCCTCTTGCTAAAACTCCAAAAACTGGTATAAATGTCAATAGGTGTCATCATAAATTTATATGTTGATTATCTCAAGAATTAGTTGAATATAGAGATTGATCACCATTGACCGCTAATAATTACACTATACCTGTTTACACAATAAAGTATCCTGTTTTTATTCGCAAACAAGAAAGAAACATAAATTTACTGTTCTATTAATCAGTGCCTTATATCTGTATCCAGTAGTTTCTGTTATTTAGGAGAAAAACTCCAACAGCTAATGTCACTGCTTGATAACTGTGTACATTTAACACACTACAGTATTTAAACATTTATATTCTTTTCATCCAGGAAAGTTGTTTTTATAATCTGTGTAAATTGACTGTACAAATACTATTGTTGCATGTTCCGATTCATTTGTTAAGAAACTGAACAACTACAGAAAGCAAATCGAAAATACCCTCGAAACTGCATAATTGGCAGCCAATACTTCACGTTAAATAATCATCTATATGAGCAAATGCTACCATGTGGGTTGAATTGATACATTCAACACATATGTGACCGGTCTTACGTTTGGTTTAACTGTCTGCTGTTTTTGAAGTAAAATAAAGTGACATCGTAATCTTGTTGAATGAATCAAAGTATTGCGAGGTAATATTTAGTTCGAAAGGTTTTCAATCAATGCAGCCAGTTTTTTAAATATATATATAAACGACAAACTTGCATCTCTTATGTAATCATTCGGTCCTGTGTTAATCATCCAAATATTGTTAATTAATTTAAGGAATTTTTTTCCACGTTCTTTTTTTCTCATCTCATGAAGAAATGAAGGATTCAAAGAGTCCACTACTTACTGTTAGCGATGCAAGTGATATCAATAACTGGTTGTCTGGTTTCCTGTCACTTGGTGTGCCAGCGTCTATTGCCATAGCTGTCAGTACAATTGTTATTTTCACATTGGGTATCGGAGTTGTGATATGTTGCTGTCATCGTTGTTGTCGAATGAATCAAACATACAATAATCAGTATTCAGATCATAGACTTGCCTTTAGAAATGATGGAATTTTCTATGATACTTTTAATCGTCCCATCTCTACAACAAATAATAATTTTGATTATTCTAGATCTCAGCATTTGGATATAATATCTGTCAATGCTGGTGTACAGTCTCAGTTATCAGACCGTATAAATTTGATATCTCATGCAGACGGTGACCAACAAAATATTGCCAGAAATTGGCCTCAAACTGTTTCTTTTTCTTCAGACATTTTGATATCCGGGAGGGAAAGTTGTTCACAACAACGTAACCATAATATGCCTGTTCAACGTTACCAAACGCTCAATCAATATCTCACATCACCTCAGAATATGACTCAAGAAAAAGAAGCTCAATCATACTGCTTTATTCAAACTCCTTTGAAGCTACCACTGATAGACAGGCATTATCCTTTATTGAATCTTTCTATTGAAACAATAGGACCCCAGTATTTTGTTTCTGTTAGTCGACATGGTAGTGACTCTTACTCATCAGTTAATACGAATTCGGCGAGAGTATACGATCATTTTCAAAATGGCCCACCAGGACCTCCGCCTGCTCTAATTCACGGAGCTCTAGACAGTCCATGCATTTACAGAAGAGGTAATTGTTATAACTTCTATTCTCAGTTATAGTATTTTCGTTCTCCTTCTATGAATATAACAAAGCGAACTGTAACAGGAACTAAATAACAGACAAAGATACGGGACAATTTCCTGTACTTAATGAATCTTTAACACGTCTTCTATTTATTTTCGATGTGTTGCATCTGAACTTGTAAGCGTACAATTGAATACACATGCGACTGATAGTCAGAACCTTTGTCCATAAGAAAACTCGAATTAAATTAGTGAATTTGGTCTTATAGTTCACCCGTGTTTGATCAGCAAGCTATTCACTAACTAAGAAAACCAACTAATTAGCCTAAATTATGTTAAGCTATTCATCGATATTTTTCATGAATGTTAAGGATTTCTCCATCAAAGATCAAGAAGTATAATTGTAAACAAACTTCTCTCATTGACAAACTTGCACCGATTCATATTTTCGTGAGTCGTATCTTTGATGCTGAATCTTTTCCATTACCACTAAATTTGTTACTACTGCTAATATTTTGGGATTCGACTTGACAGTTTTATCTCACTGTCTAAATGAGCTTTGGTAACTTATGTTTACTTGGAAGCATGTTTGGGATGCAGTTTTCCTCATAGAAATGTAAAACTTAGCTTCAAGATTGGCTTGCGACGGCACCTGAACTAGTGATAGGGAGTGAAGTGGTTGAGCGTGTCGACCATTTCACTTATCTCGACAGTCTCATCAGTGCCGATAGCCTGGTTTGTGACAAAATCTCAGCACGGAGACGGAAAGTTCGATTGGCTTTTGCAACTTGCGTCACTTGTGGCGAGGGCAAGGTATCCGTTTGCTCACCAAAGAACGAGTGTACTGCGCAGCAGTTCGCTCTGTGCTATTTTATGGCTGTGAAACATGGCCACTCAGAGTAGAAGGTATTCGTAGGTTACTTTTTTTCGATCATAGGTGCCTCCGAAGCATTGCTCGAGTATCGTGGGACAACCGAGTAAGCAATGCTGTTTTTAGGAAACGGGTAATAGGTAAGGATGGCAGGTCAATAGATGAAGTAATGAAACTTCATCAGTTGAGGTGGTTGGGACATATGTTACGTGTGCCCAACCACCGACTGCCTCGTCGAGCTATGTTTTGCGATGTAGGAATAGGTTGGACGAAAGCTGACACGTGCATCTTTCCAAGTTGTCGTACCACATTAACAGAGTGAAATAAAAATATTTCAAGATAAATTACAGAGTAGTGAAAGTAATTACAGTATCAGTAGTTGTATTAGTAGCAAAAAAGAAATAGAAAAAGGGTATTCGGAGAATTTGGGACCTGTGTTCAAAGGGAAAATAAGCAGTGAATGCAACACCATCACTGCGAACGATGCGACCCAAAGTCTCTAACCATTGGTTGCAATAAACACCTATATTCTAACCAAAAAATCTACACTTATTAACACAGTTCAATCTAATTGTCGATGACTTCATGAAATTGTTCCACACTTTGGTTTGATGACCATTAGCTTAATTCCAACGTACTCTTTTACCGGAAAACTTCGTCCGTCAAGTTTAGGCGGTGGTTGGCCATGCTTAATATGTGAGTCTGACTTGCAATATCAAAGAATTATTCGAAAACTTTACAATTATGTGAAAAATTAACTTAAACTGTTTCCCAAATAAATAACTTTAAAATTATTCTCGCAAGTTATCCAAATTTGTCTAAGTCTTTCTCTAGGTAGTGGTGATATTGAGCATAAACAAACTTGTGTTACGATCCACCGCTTTTTCCTTAGAAAGTGAGATAGTTTCAACTGATGTATTATTTTCTCAAGTTTTTCATTGTCATAGACAACTAGTCATGTAATCATTTACATTACTTTAAATGAAAAATGATGGTTCTACTTGTTCTTCCTCTTATTGACGACCCACAGACCAATTGTGTTGTTATACACCACCACCCTATGGAGCATGTAATGTCCCACCTGGCAGTAGTGTGACGGCAAGTAGCAGTAGAACTGGCACAACAAGTGGTGGTCCACGAGAATCGTTAAATTCAGGACGTGATCATTCAGCTCCTGCAATGGGACAAATCACTTCGGGGAATGGGAGTTGCATTGAAATAAGTAATCAACAGATAGATGGAGAAGAATCAGCATTACATACTAATACACCTATAGAAACTATATCACATGGCGGTGATCTTAGTCTGAATGGTGGTATTGTTTATTTGGGTAACATGTACAGACCGCTATCTCCACAAAATTCCAGTTTATTTCAAGGAGAGAATTGTGGTCATGGTTCAGTTACTAGTAGTGGTAGTTCATATGATAGAAAATCTCATCAGTACTTTCGTAGAGAAATAAAGTCTCATCATGATAATGCTCATACCTATCTGAGAAGAAATCCTCACCAACATTCTACTTACGATTCGTTTAAGAACAGCTCTAGACGCCTAAGAACATCCCATCATCAACATCACCATCATTTAAAGCATCGTAGATCAGCTGATCCTAATCATACTATTTCAAGCGGTTCACATACATCAGTTAGTTCACGTTCCGGTGTCTTATCTAATCCACTTCAATCAGCTTGTGATGTTCACGAACAATCTTTGGGTCAATGTCCAATATCTACTGTAACATCCAGTTCTAATACTACTGGAACATCGAACCACCAGCCTATCGTATTCCCTGTACAGCTGTAAACACGTGTACGTACTAAGTTACTGATGCTTCAGGATATTTATTTCGAATTGTTTTCGTTAAAGGACTAGATACTCTTTGCGGTCATAATGTAAACACAAACAAATAATGTATCAGTAGTTCTACTTCTCTTTATTCTTAATTATTTGGTCAATTGTAAAGCTATTTCTTATTTTGTTTCTTTATTTTTAAATACAATATTTGCATTTTTTTTTTACTTATCTCTGTATAGTTGTGATTTTGTTGCATTTCATATTTCATCTGTTTATTTTTCGTTGCTGTATACTGATTTAGTGTTGTGAATTGGTATTAGTATATCTCAGTTAGTTGCTTAAATACACAGGGTTAGTTTGAGTCATAAAGAAGTTATCTTATATGTATGAGATCTCAGTTTTAATTTGTTTACAACTTCAACTATGAACAGGGTTTTTTCTATATCGTTTCATTATTTTACATGACTAACTATCTGTACTACATCAACCCTCATTCCCTACTTCTTTTTCCTCTTGCTCATCACAAAATGTAAATAATTTCTTGCCTGTTTATCTTTTCTTCCTTTTGTCTTCAAAAAACTAATTGTGTACATGTTTTCATTGTTTCTGAAGTTGTTCTTCCTCTATAAATACATCCTTATCCTATTCATCTTAACATTCGGCTTCTAACCAGTGAATCATCAACACAAAAACCCACTCTTCTCAGAACACTCTGTTAGTTATTCCTTCCCTCTCTCACATTCAACAGGTTTCTTTTTATTTCCTGTCATTATTAATTTATTTTATAGTTGTGTAATCTCATCAGTCTTTCACAGAGAAATTTCATCAGTGTTCTACATTTTCATGTCTGATTTCAACAAAACTTGACTTATATGGAAGCATTTTCTATAATCTATGGAAATCGTCTATTTTAAACGTTGCATTATATTAACAATTGTAATTATACATATTCTAATCACACACAGGCACTAGTCTGCTCAACTAATTCATTTTTTGGTTAATTATTTAGTATTTTCGTATTTACATGTTATATTAACTGTTTCAGTGGTTGTGCTGCTATTTTTATTTACCATTAATCGATTTTTCTAAATAAATATGAAACAATCCACAAAAAATTAATGCTGTGTGTTTGAACTCGAATTTTTCGCAATTTTTAAGTAGTTGGCTTTCTATAATTAAATTATGTTAGTGGATGAATCCGCTGCTATTGGGGCGAAAACAGAATTCAGTGATAAATAATATCTCCAAGTTAACAAAACTTATTAATTTTGCGAATTTTATAAGCAGTAAATTAATGACCATAAAAACTCTCTCCTAAATTTGATCTAACAGTTTCACGTTGGTTAGGCTCCGCGTTAATGTAACCTATTGCAGAGGAAAATTATGTTTGTAGAATTCTCTGCGATTGAAGTTTAAGTAAACCTTGCGTTTCTCTCGACAGTTCTGCCCAAACGTTATCAACGAAACAACTAAATATCAAAATTGTAGAGTTCAGGTTTACTAATTATTAGTTGCCGTGGAGCAGCTGTGTACGTCTCTCTCATTAATATTGTTTGGATTTCTTCATATGTATAGAACTTGAGCAGCTAATCTGTCATCATATGAAATAAAACCTTTTTGGAGGTTTCTAGCTGACTGGAATCTATTAAGTACAATGCTATTTCTACCATGCTTTCCAGGTTTTCGTTAGAGTAATTAAGAATTGTTTCAAGCTAAATTTACGTTGCCTCACCTTCACAATCAACTGCCATGATTTCTTAACTATATTACTATATATTACACGTAGTAACCTTATGAATCATAGACGGCCGACAAGCGGTTAGTCAGACAGATACAACGAAGAACTTAGTACGTAGGTTAGTGAATACGAAATATAATGACTGTTTGAAAACTGATCTATTTTTAAGGCTGACATATACTAGAAAATAACCAGATAACGAGTAAGTGAATGACAATTCAAATAACGAGCGCTCAAACTCCAAACCACTGAACTGGAATTCACTGATGCATATGTTTAACTTCTGTCAATCCTCTGTACTACATGACCATCATCCTTTTTGTTCAATCGGTAATTTCCTTTTATTCGATACAGTTGAACTCCGTCCAATAGAGCTTCAGAAATCACATATTGAAGCTAGTCACCACTGAGAGCATGCTGATTAGGAATGTTAAGGTTGAGTTTTTTTTGAGATCACAATCCGAACTCACACTTCTAATCGAATCTATATGAATTAATTTACAAATTAATCTTATCAAACCCGGAATATTTTGCCATATTTGCCTTGAAAAGTAATTAATACTCTCCTTTCTACACTGTATGGATAGTTAACTATCCGGACATTGCTTTTATGCATACACCGTATTTACTTACTTATGGCTGTTACCCCGAATGGAGCATAGGCCGCCCACCAGTGTTCTCCAATATACTCTGTCCTGGGCTTCCCTTCCCAGTTCTTTCGAGTTTTCGTTCACTCTTCGCATGTCTTTCTCTATTTCTCGGCGTAATGAGTTCATTGGCCTTCCTCTTTTCCTTTGACCTTGAGGGTTCCATGTGACGCAGTTGGGTGCTTTTCACAGTGTGTGTCCTATCCACTTCCATCGCTTCTTCCTGATTTCCTCCTCCAATGGAATCTGGTTTGTTCTCTCCCACTGTAAGTTGTTGCTGACAGTGTCTTGCCAACGAATCCGAAGTATTTTACGTAGACAACTTTTCATAAATACTTGAATCTTCTGGATGATGGCTTTCGTAGTTCTCCAAGTTTCCGCTCCACATTGTAGAACTATCTTGACATTTGTATTGAAAATCCTGATTTTGGTGTTGATTGATATTTGTTTGGAGTTCTAGATATTTTTCAATAATAAAAATGCAGCCCTTGCTTTGCCGATGCGCGCCCTCACATCTGCATCGGATCCACCTTGGTTGTCGATGATGCTGCCCAGAAATGTAAAGGTGTTAACCTCTTCCAAGGAATCTCCATCAAGCATAATTTGGCTGACGCATGTTGTGTTGTAGCGTAGAATTTTGCTTTTTCCTTTATGTATGTTGAGACCTACTGCTGCAGAGGCTGCTGCTACACTGGTCGTCTTCTCTTGCATTTGTTGTTGCGTGTGAGATAGAAGAGGCAGGTCATCTGTGAAGTCCAGCTCCGTCCTAGCTGGGAGTCTACGAAGTCCTTTATTCTGTTGAACAGTACCCTGTTGAAGACTTTGCCTGTTATTGAGAGAAGAGTGATGCCTCTGTAGTTCTCACACTTCCTGAAATCGCCTTTCTTTGGTATTTTGATCAGATACCCTTATTTCCAGTTTGTTGGTACTTGTTCTTCCTCCCAAATCTTGTTGAAGAGAATGTGAAGTATTTTTACAGTTGCTGCTACGTCTGTTTTCGTTGCCTCTTATGGAATATTGTCTGGTCCTGCTGCTTTGCGCTCTTCATTTGTCTGATGGCCATGCTGATCTCTTCAATTGTAGGTGCGCCAACATCGATTGGGAGGTCCGTAGATGCTGCTTCGATGTTATGTGGATTTAGTGGGGCTGGTCGATTCAAGAGTTCCTTAAAGTGCTCCACCCGCCTGTTTCGCTGTTCTTCAGTGTTGCTGATTACTTTGCCTTGCTTGCTTTTCACTAGTCGTTCTGGTTTCCGATAGTTTCCAGCGAGCTACTTTGTTGTTTCGTACAACTGTCTCAAGTTTCCGTCTCTTGCAGCCTTTTCCGCCGTCATTGCTAGATCTTCCACATATTTTCGTTTGTCAGCTCTGATACTCTTCTTCACTTCCCTGTGTGCTTCTGTGTATGCAGCTTGTGCCTTAACTTTCTCTGCTCTCGTTTAGCTGACATTGATTGTTACCTTCTTGTTCCTTCTTTCTTGAATCTTATCAGGTGTATCAATAGTGATTAATTTCTTGTGATGGTGCTTCTTGTGACCCAGGACCTCCTGACATGTTGAAGTGATTGCCTCTTTAATCCCCTCCCAATTGTTCTCGATTGTCTGCCCCGTTGTCCAGTGATTCTTTAGTTTAGGTCTCCCATTAAAATTGTCAAATCCTTTGATGAGCATCTGTCGACGATTGACTACAGCCTTTCGTAGAATTGATCTTTAACGTCGTGATTGTAGTCGTTGGTAGGTACATAGCGTTGGATTACGTTAATTGTGATGTCCTCTTTCTTTGATTTGAAGGATGCTTTAATGATCCTGGGTCCATAAAATTCCCATCCTATTAGTGCCTTTTGTGCTTGTTTAGACAGCATCAATCCAACTCCTTGTGTATGTGAAGCATTTTCATCTTCATGATCAGAGTATAACAGCAGTTCTCCTGAAGCTAGTCCCAGTTGTCCTACCTTTGTCCAATGCGTTTCGCTGAATCCAAGCACCTCGAGGTTGTAACTTCTCATTTCTGCTACAACGTGAAGTAGTCTTCCAGTCTCCCACAATGTTCGAACGTTCCATAGCCCTAGAAGAATGGTTGCTTTGGTTGTCAGAGTAGGTATCGGCCTCGTGACTTAGGAGAGAACTCGGCATTCATCACGAGACGCTATAATTCTTCTTCCAACTCTCAGGGCAGATTTGAAATGGTTTGATCTATTTTTTCTGGTTAGCGTTTAATGGGAAAGTTAGTTTATAGTTGGCATTTGGGCGCCGACCCCATATCCAACCCGTCCTCCTTTATCCGGACATGGGACCGGCACTAGCCCCTAAGGTTCTACTGGCGGAGTTATGCATACTCCGTATTCATTAGTAAAAGTAACTTGAGATCATTACGATTTTCCAATGCAAAGTTTCGGTTAAGCGGTAAGTGCATCCGATAATACCTGGGACATTTTCTCTTTTAGCGAAAATATAAATTGTTCTTAGTTCGAACTATACACAGATGAGCATCATTTTTTGCTTGGCAAATGTAATACAAGAACAGTATTGTTTTAAGTCGTACGTACATCCCGTTGCTGATATTCGACAAGATCAGCGAGTTAGTGATCGGCAACGAAGAACTTCGTTAGTATTTACATCAGTCCAAGTTGCCATACCACATCAATACAGAGATCGAATTGTCAATTCAAATCCTGTAATAGTAAAGGTAATAGAAGCATGAGCAGTAGTCAGGAAGATTCGAACAGTATAGTCCAGTGAAATAAAAAACTTCAGAAGAGAAAGATAGAGATGATGAGGATTTCAGAAGATTAGAATTTGAGAGAACACAAAGAGTGGATGCATCTGCATCATTGCAAACGATTTTGAGTCATATCATTCAAAGTCTAAGCATCGGTTACTTTCGTCTCGCGGACTCCAACCAGGTAGTTTAAACCTACTAACATGGATGGCTCAGTCCAGTTGTCGGCGACTTCATGGATTTGTGCCAAGTTTTGCTTTGGACATCCCTAGCTTTTATCCAACCTACTGCTCTATCGCAAAACAGCTCGACGAGACAGTCGATGGTTAGGTATACGCTATACATATCCCAACCACCTCAACTGATGAAGATTCGCCACTTCATCAACTGATTTACCATCCTTACCTGGTACCCTTTTCCTAAACCAAGCATTGCTTATTCAATGGTTCCAGGATATACGAGCTATGCTTCGGAAACACCTATGATCGAATACTAGTAGCCTGCAAATATCGTCTATTCTCAGTGGCCATGTTTCACACCCGCAAAGTAGGACGGAACGAACTGCTGCGCAGTACACTCGTTCTTTGGTCAGCCTTCACTATAAGTGACGCAAGTTGGCAGAAGCCAGTCGAGACTTGTGTATCCGAGCTGAGATTTCATCAGTCACCAGGCCATCAGCACTGATGGATAATTGAGTCGGTCAACATACTCAACTACTTTACTCCGTGTCACTAATTTAGGCGCCCATGCAATGCAATCTTGAAACAACGTTTTGCATTTTGATGGGGAGAAGAATCGCATCTCGAACATGCTTTCATTGTTGCTTAGCGTAGTCAGAAGACTGCATCTTGTCAATGTCTTCACCGAATAGAACTATGCCATCGGCATACTCT